TTTTTATTAAAAATTATTATAAAATTATATAATTAATATATAAAATATAAAAATAATCCTGTACAATCGCACGGTTACAAAAAAAAAACTAGTTACTAATAAAACTCTAAATGAAAATGAAAACAAAATAAAAATAGAAGTTAAGAGTAAAAGTAACCGGTTTGAAACCGGCTGCTGATTGGAACGTTAATCATATTGCCACATGTAACAACAGAGCAGCTAGTGCCCAAGAGAGTGCTGATTGGAAAGTGTCCGTAGCACTGCTCCCCGTAGCACTGCTCGGCGGAGCACTGCTCTCGGTAGCACTGCTCAAAAAATATATATAAGAAGGACAAGCACTAATAGCCCGGGGACAGTCCACCATATCTTCCCCATTGACATTGAAGCACAAAACTACTTCTAGTAGATTTTTTCGTCCGTCTACAGAACCATCACGTTTGGAACAACGTAGTGCCGGACTTTTACTAAAATTGTAGTAGATCGCGTCAGCAATGTCAGTGCTCTTCACCGGCGTGCTATCACTAGGATTGATTCCATTCGTCTTGAGAATGTCTCCAATCCAGTCGTTGTACGAGTTGCAGAGTTCAACCGCTTGATCAAAATATTCAAGTTGGCTGCTAAATCCATAATTCAGGGAGTATGTTCCGTGCGTAGACCATTCCTGCCTCCAAAATTCATCATTTTCGCGAAACATGCTAGGCCAGCATTTATCCAATTGTGGCTTAATTGGAGATAGCTATATATTGAATCAAGAAAACAATTCATCAGTGACAAGCATTTCTAAAAGGTTAAAAAAAAAAGGGGAAAATAGAGAATGACAAAACAGTTAATGTTTTGCTACCTCATTTATGTCAAATGCCTGCCCTCCTTGCTGTGTCACCGATGCTCCGTTGTAATTGCTTGGCCAGAGGCCATGAATTGTGAAACTTTGATTAGCTAACTTTGTGCACCTCTTGTAGGATAAAGGGTTACTACAAACAGCAGGTTGCCATTGTACCACGTATTGCATATAGTCATATGGTACTGCACCTGATACAGAGAACATTAAAGAAATAGTAAGAAAGAAGATCAAGATTGGCGTGGCAGGCTGATTCAAAACCTTCGGAGATTCCATCTTTCCACCGGCTGGATTCAGAACCAACGTCGGCGCTATAGATGTCACGTGCCTCTTATAGTCCTATCTAAGTAATTAATTAACCTTTCTAGCAAAATGTGACTTTAAAAGAGAGGGGTGACCCCCTTTTTATATTATTGGGTTTCCACAGTCAAGTAGTTTGTAAACTCCAACGCCCAAACTCAGTCCGCTCATCAACGGTTTAATTACGTCCAACAAGAAGTCAAGATAATAATTCGTCAAAGAGAAAAACACAACATCAATTGACTCAATCTACGCGGCTAATCCGTAATGAACCAACAAAATGATCCGTCAATTCACGCGGTTAATCTGAAATGGTAAAATTTTCAGACCTCGATTATTACTAAACGATAGGTTTGTTTAATTTGTATTTCAAAATTAAGGATATTCTATTCTCGTTTTAAAATTTAATTTTAATAAAAAAATTAAAAAAATTATTTTACTTTTCTGATACTCTTCCCATGTAAATTTTTTAAATTGAATAATTAAAATAAGTATTAATTTAAAATTTTTTATACATATTAAAAAACCATTAAATGATATAATTAAAAAAATGGTCATTTTAACTAAAAAAAATGGTCATTTTTATTCATTGATAAATTTAATGTAGCATTGAAATGATGAGACGATATTACCAAAATAGA